TGCCTGCCCACCTCTCGCCAGGACTAACGAGGCAATTCAATAAATCTAAAATGTTTCAAAAGATAAAAGCGCGCTCAAACGAATCAAAAATCATGAAACGGAAAACGAAAATCGGAGCCGCACATGAACAGTGCCGGCCACGTCACAATCCCGTTGGAATCTGGCCAGATTTCCAGTCGGATTCTTGGCCGGATTAGAGGCAGTGAGCAACTGCCCGGATTCCAAAAATTCCCTTGTCAATCCGGCCTGCAATCCGGCCAAGAACTGGCCGGATTTGCGGCCGGATTCTCCTGCAGAAATTCCGGTTAATTTTTTTTTTCTTTTGTCGTTCAAAAATCGAACCTGTCCGAAACCCAAGCATTCACCACAAATCATATAAACCTTGAAATTAAACATTTACAATCCAAATTAACACATAAACATGACCAACCACATTTATACAGGTAAAGTTGCAAATTTACAACTCAAAAGAGATGTTGGATCAAAATACACTTAAAGTTTCCGACTACCGAGGAGATATACAAAAGAATATTAAACTAGCTCAACTCGGCTTCCCAAAATCACCGTCTCCCCAAAAGTTATTCATATCCCTGTAAGGAAAACAAAGACAATAGAGTGAGTTTTCGCCCAATGAGGTAACATTCCCCAAATAACGAAGTTCATATAAGCACAAAGCCATTCAATCCAAATTCATTCAATAAATGAGTTAACTAACACCACATTTCAATAAAGATTTGTAAAAGGATACGGACGGGTCTCAAGAGCACTTTTCCTTGCTTGCCATACTTGACCTCACCTCATTGACTCTCTGTCAATGTATAAAGAGTAACTAATACCGTAGACTCCACTTTTCTCCAATTTCCGTCCACCTCACATACCCCTACTGGGCTCGAACTCCAATCAATTCCGAAATGGTAATACTCGAGTATACCAAAATCAAAAGTCTCATACTCTAGGATTCCACATAAACAGTCCCCATGGCTTGTCAATTTCCTCGACCAAGCCCTTGCTAGCTGGATTCAATTGACCACCAATGGGTTTGAGCTCAGTGTTAACAGTAAAGGTCGTTGGATACACGTCCAAACGACACTAGTTCAAGTATATTCAAGTGACATTCAATTGATACGGTAAACAGTCACATAAGACATAGAGTGCGAGAGTGATAAAATACACCCTCATCTCAATCAATCTCAACAGTATACGCAAGCATTCAAGTCACAGATTTCAAATATAACAAAGCCATGAAATAACAATTATGTGAGTAGTACACTCACCAATCAAACAAAGAGAGTTATCACAAATTTCTATCCAACGAGCACCTTGCGTCACCGGCACGCCCTAAAACATTCAATAAACATAATGAGACTCGATTACGAGTCATAAATCCAAACCACACATCACTAATGTAAAGCTGTAATAACTTGAAAGTAATATAACGTATACTTGGTGCTAAAGGTTTAGACAACCCTAAGGTTACTAATTAACCGTTAAAGCAACCCAATTCCAAGAAATCGTATGAACCTAAATTTTGGACAGCATTTCCCCTTATAATTTCAAATTTCCTTCCTACAATCATCACTTATATTACCCCAATACAACCACAATTACAATTGCAAGTCGTAGGCCATTCCATACACCTTGTTAGGGCTACAATACCCTTTAAACAAAGCCAATTCAAGAGTTTCACAATAACCCTAGAAAAGCCCCAATTCAAAACCCTAAATCTGAAATTTTCCATACAAAATGGAAATTTTCCACAAATAGCTACAATTAACACACCAAAGCTTCATTCTAGACTATACTAAGCCATCATCCATGGCCAACCAATATTAAACACATAAAATCAGAAAAATCATGAATAAAAATAAAAATTTATCAATCTCTACCAAAAGTCATGAACTCTTACACAAAACCATCTCTTTGCCTAACACAAGTCACTAATTTAACATTATCAAGAGCACAGGAAAGATTCCATAGCCACTTACCTTGCAAACTCAAGAAAAGAAGCAACTTAGCACCTCCTCTTTCCAAACCACTCCACCAACTACCTCAATACTACTTAGCAAAGGGTTTTTATGGTTGAATTTGAGGTTTTAACGGTTAGGTTGTGAGATTGAGCAAGATTGAGAAGAAGAAAGTTGGAGGTTTTCCTTTCTTTTGCTCCCTAAGAGAGTCGGCCAAGAGAGAGATGTACGATGATGAATTTTGGGTTAATTTTTTGATTAGTTGGTAAAGGTAAGTAGGATGATCAAAGTCCAACCTTTAATCACAAAGTGACACTTGTCACCTTTTTGGTTCAAAGCTATCCTTTTGTCCCTCCAACATTAATCCATTTGGTAACCTCTAATTATCGCCTAACACCTAGTGATTTGCTCCCTGTATACAAAACTTAACCTAATTGATCGAATTTTAGCGCACTTACCGCACTAGTGGGTCCTACATCCAATATACACTCCTAAAATCTCATGAACCAACTTATACTAGAAAAATGATTTAAAAACTATATTTACTCATAAAAATTATCTAGAAAATTTTTCTAATAAAGAAAATAGAGAAAAGGCATGCAATTAAATAAAATAAAGCCTAGAAAATAAGAAAATTTTCGGGTTCTCACAAGATCCATTACAGCCGTCCCCCCTTGTCCATCCCAACACATTTTTTGGTTTTCCTCGATGCACTTGCCATCATGATTTTTTTAGAGGATAAATTTCAAATATGGTAGATATTTCCTACAATTATTAAAAGAAATGTGATGATGAAAAGATGACATTCATGTACGACCTATACAAAGAAATTTTTACCATTATCTTTTGAGAAAGTAATTGCCTCAGAATTAAAGAATTATTTTAGATTAGATAGGAACTACTGATAGTAAAGAAAAAAACAAAAACTAGTGATAGTATCAATTGTAAAACTCAAAAAAGTAGAAGACCAGATTTCTAACTCAAGAGTGTGCCCTTGTTTGATTTAGTTAAGGTAATTTTTAAAGTGATGTTGGAAAATCATATTTAAATAGATCAATATTTTATGCACTTTTATATTAGCAACTTTGGATGCATGCCATATGTGCATGATTTGAATTTCAAATTTAAATTTATGTTATGTGGTATGATCTAAACTTGTTAGTGTCAAAAAAATTATACGCTAACAGTGTATAAAGAAGTTATTCTATATAGATTATATCTTTGTTCCAAATATGGAATCCAAACTCAAAAGAACTTTAAAAAAATGCATAGATTAGAGAAGCATTTAATTGATTTGCAATAAACAAGATAACGATAAAAAGATTTTAGGAAACATTTTTTCCTTTTTTTAAAAAAAAAAAAGAAGCTATAGTAAGTTAATATGATCCACTATATATATTTGTTTATTATTAATTTAAAATTGTATATAATTCTCAAATGAGAAAATTGAAAAGAAGATTTGGCTTGGGAATTTACTGAACATGGATATGATTTCTAAATGTATATCTTAATAATAGGACTGTGAGAGAGGGAGGAAGGATGGATTGGATAGTTCAGAGAGGAAAGTATAAATAAGAGTTTCTAAGTTTGAACCCTCCCATTTACACTATAAAATAAATTTAAAAAATCTTAATAATATGACCAGTTAAATGTGTGCTTCCTAATTGAGTACAAATGGACTTTCCAACTAAAAAAAAAAAAAAAAAGCACAAATGGACTTTATTTTTCTAGCATGTTTGGTAGTATGTGGATCAGGCCTTTGCTGTTGCCAATGGTAATAGGGTAAAGTGCAGACAGTAACTCAAGGAATGTGAATACTATTATAACAAATGTAGATACTAACACAACAATACGTAAAGGCGCAATAAATTTTTGGACATGAATTTTAATGACAAAGAAAATTATTTTATTTTATTGTTATCTTAGTACTAGTTAATTTGCACCTCGCCCGAGGCGTGAGGTTGCCCAGATATGATAATTGGTATGTTTTCAAAAAGATCATGATAAATTGAAAACACAGTATTACTGCAGTTGAACAATCAAAGTTAAAAATAAATGGTGATTATCTAGGCTAATAGTAAACTGTTATATTTACATACATAAGAATCTTTCTACATATGCTTTCACACTAATACTTTATGATTCAACAATATTAATCATTGTAGTTCTTCATGATATTTGTTATTAGCGTTGAGCTAATACATGAAAAATTACACAAAGAGAGTGAGGAAATTTTTATAAGGGAAAAAAAATCGATACAAAGCAGGCTTAAAAATCGAAATTTTTATATGCAAAAAAGACAAAAATATGAAATCATAATTCATCTTCTTTTGAATATTCAGTTTAACAATCAATGGGAAAATAAAGAAAATTCAAAAAATAAATCATAAAAGTCTGTGATAGTGGAGCAGGTTCTATTTGAGAAGTGACATTGGTAACAACGTTGTAGATAGCAATCGGTCATCACTTACTGTCAGTGTTTGGGTTGCACCCCCATTTTTTTTTTTCCTTCTGTTATTGTATGGAAAAGACCATTCAGACCATAAGATTTCAAAGTGTGGGATCGGAAAATCCATGTGGCAAAAGCATATGAGAAGCACCACATAATTTGCTGACATGGTGAGAGTAATTCAACTCTAGCAAAGCCCACCAATTCCCACCAAAAAGTATGAAATGACTAAAAAGGACACCTACTAAAGGTATCAATAGGGGACCAATTCTACTGTTCCTAAGCCCATTTGCATTTTTATTCTCTTAGGATGTTAGTGTCTGCATTAGTGTCCACGTCTATTATAGCAGTGTCTACACTAAACTCTACTGTCACCGCTGTTATAACAGCAAATGCCTCGGCTTCGTTTTTTTTTTTTTTTTTTTTCCGGAAACGATAATGAATTATATTAACTTGTGTAAAAATTTACACCTAATGAGCAAAGGCTCAAGCTGCACTATACAAGTGTCTTCGACACTGAGGATTTAACCATTCCTCATCAAAAAATATGCTTAGCGCATAAAAACTGAGGTTAGCTAAGCTATTCGTCACTTCCCCCTAGCTAAAACAAATGAGCATTCCACAAACATTGAGCTTAAATCGTAGATGTCCTCAATATGAGAATGAAGTCGAATGTCCGTAGCCCTTTTGGTTTCTATCATCTTCAAAAGCTGTCGCTGTGTGATTGCTACTTGAATTCTCCTCCATTGCTGCTCCCTTGCCTTTATCATTGCTAGCTTGATGGCCACTGCAGTATCCATGAGAATGTTCCCTGTGCTATATTCCTTTACTGCCCATGTAGCTAGCACTTGATCATTTCCCCTCACTGCCACTATGCCTATTCCCATCTGACTTGCTTTTCTCTGAGTGTCAAAAGCTAGGCAAATGGTTATAGGACTTTCAGTACTTGTGGTTACTGCCTGCTGCACTACAGCTTCTGTTGTTTTTGGAATGCTCATCTGGTCCTTGCTGTGTTGGATTCTCTGCATTTCCAGCCACTCTTCTTGAGCTTGATGTATGATTTTACTTGCTGGTCTTCTATTTTTCTGAAACACAAAGTCATTTCTAGCTTTCCAAATTTGCCACAAAATGTTTACAGTGAGTGCAATGTGTTCCAGCCCTTCAGGTCGATTCCTAGCCTCTGTTAAAGCATTCCACCATCTTTTAAAGTTCCCTTGTTGGTCATCAATACCATCCCATTTCAATGGTGCTATTTGCCATGCTTCTTCTGCCATCCTGCAACGAAATAGTAGGTGTTCTACAGTTTCCACAGCTTCACCACAATTCTCACATATTGGTGATCCTTTCTTGGTTCTGCTAAACACCACTTCATTAACAGGTAATGCCTTATTCAGGCATTTCCAGATAAAAATCTTCAGCTTGTGTTTCACTTTAAGCTTCCACAAGTGTTTCCACAGGTGTTGGTCCTCTAGGCTGGTTTCTCCTCTTGTAAGCATTTTCTGCTGTTGTTCTTCACCCTTCTTGTTTAGTTCCTTGTAAGCTGAGGCCACTGTATATTGGCCATTACGACTATGTAACCAGAAATGCCCATCCTCCCTGTTAGCCAAGCTAATTGGTATCCTGAGTATCATTTTGGCCTCCTCTTCCTTGAATAGTTTGAAAACCAAGGCTCTTTTCCATCTGAAGTTTTGAATCAAGTCTGCCACGTTATGCAAATTACAGTTTCGAGGCCTCGTTGAAGCAGGCCTTCCATGGGGGATCTCTGGTACCCAGTTGTCATCCCAAATTTTTGTACTCCTTCCATTTCCTATTTTCCTTATTAGCCCTCTTTGCACATCCTCCCTGACTGCCATGATGCTTTGCCAAATCCATGAAGAATTGTGTTGTACCTGGCAGTTGAATATTGTGGATTTAGGGAAGTACTTTGTTTTCAGGACATTGCTAACTAAAGAATTGGGCCTTGTTATCAGCCTCCAGATTTGTTTCCCTAATAAAGCCTTGTTAAAGTTCAGCAAATCCTTAAAACCTAAACCCCCCTTCTTTCTGTCCAGTGTGATTCTTTGCCAGGAGCACCAATGCATTTTCCTCTTCCCTTGTTCCTCTCCCCACCAATAATTGGCCATCAGGCTACTTAGTTCCCTGCATAGACGGACAGGTAGTTTGAAGCACGACATGGCATATGTAGGCATAGCCATAGTGACCGCCTTGAGGAGAACTTCTTTCCCAGCCGTACTCAAGAGTTTGTTTTTCCAGTGTTGCATCTTTTTCTCACATTTTTCCTTGATAAAGCTGAAAACCTGTCGCTTGGATCTTGTAATAACCATGGGTAATCCTAGATATTTTCCTTGATGTACCCTCTGGATATTGCCAAGATGCCTACACACTTCTCTTTGTTGTTGCTGAGAGATGTTCTTGCTGAAAAACACTGAAGATTTGTCTAAGTTTAGCATCTGGCCAGAACCTCTTTCATACTGTTTCAAGATATTCATCAGCGTTAATGCTTCCTCAGGGTCTGCTTTGCTGAAAATGATAGCATCATCAGCAAAGAAGAGATGAGTGATTGCTGGTCCGCCTCTGCAAATTTTCATTCCTGTGATCTTTCTTTCTCGTGTTGCTTTTTGAATCAAGTTAGTAAGGCCTTCAGAACAAATCAAAAAAAGGTATGGGGATAAAGGATCTCCCTGTCTGATACCTCTCTCTGGTCTCACATATTCTCTTACCTCACCATTCACGTTAAAAGAATAGGTAACTGTTTTGATGCAACTCATAATCCAAGTGGTCCATTTGTCACAAAAACCCATTCTATGCATGATTTCCTCCAGAAAATTCCACTCAACCCTGTCATAAGCTTTAGACATATCTAACTTCAAAGCAAAAAAACCATTGTTTCCTTTCCTTTTGTTTTTTAAGTAGTGCAAACATTCATGAGAAATGATAACATTGTCTAAAATCTGCCTACCAGGAACAAAGGCAGCCTGGTTCTTACTAATGCAAGCATCCAGCACCTCTTTGAGTCTATTTGCAAGAATTTTTTAAATGATTTTATACACTACTTTGCAAAGACTAATAGGTCGAAAATGTTGGAGATTGGTGGGGTTGTCAATTTTAGGAATAAGAGAAATAACCGTGTGGTTAAAGGCTTTAGACATATGACCAGAATGGAAGAAACTTTGAATGGCTCTAATGATGTCGTATTTTATAATGTACCAAAATTTTTGGAAAAAGAAGGGGCTCATACCATCACTGCCAGGGCCTGTGTTTGGATCCATAGAGAACACTGCTTTTTTTATTTCCCCCTCCTGCACTTTCCTAGTTATCTTGGCATTCATTTGTTGAGAGATTGATTGTGGTATACCCTCCAAAATCTCATCTAGACAATCTACCTCTGCACCACTGAATAATTGTTGGTAATATCTTGCTATTTCTGCCCCCAAATCCTCTTCACTCACGGCCCAAGAGCCATCATCTCGCTGTATGTTTTGCATTCTGTTTTTTTTCCTTCTCCCTCGAACATTAGCATGAAAAAATTGGGTGTTTTTGTCCCCATGTTTGAGCCATTTACATCTTGCCTTTTGACTCCAATACAATTCTTCCTCCATGTATGCTTGCTTCAATTGACCTTTAAGCTCTTTCTTCTTCATTTTTCCATTGATCCCCCCATCCCTTTGCACCTCCTCGAGCTGCTTTTTGATGCTTGAGATTTTCAGCTTAGCATTATCCTGAAAATTACTCCTCCATCTGAGTAATTATACTCTGCAATTAGCTATCTTCTTTGTAACCTTAAACATTCTTGAGCCTTCTTGTTCCTCATTCCATGCCTTCTGAATCACTTGATGTATTTCCTGCTGTTGTAACCATCTTTTATCAAAAAAGAACCTCTTTTTCCTTCTCTGAGTGCTTGGGTTGGAGTCAATCAGCAACATACTGTGGTCAGACCCCAAGTTTTCTACATGTGTGCATTTAGCCCTTTGAAAAATTTGAGACCAACTTTGGCTACCCAAGGATCTGTCCAGCCTTTGTCTCACTTCTCCTTCATTCTCCCAATTATTACTCCATGTCCATGGATGTCCTTCAAAGCCTATGTCAATCAGGTCATTTTCTGATATGAATTTTCTGAAGTCAGTGAAAGACCAATCCTCTCTTAGTGTTCCACCCCATTTCTCCTCATTTGTCAAAATGTCGTTGAAGTCTCCTGCTATAACCTATCTGTCCCCCCAAAGTCTTTTTCTTTCACCTATTACTTTCCACTGTTGTTTCCTCATTTGGTCCCAACAACTGGCATAGATGCCAATGAACCACCAGTCTGTTTGTGTTTCTGTATCTTGAATCTGCACTTCAATTGTAAAAGAGGTGTGCTGAATCATCTTTATCTTAATATCTTCATGCCATAGTAATGCCATCCCTCCAGACCTTTTCATTGCTTCTACTACATAGCATCCTTCAAAATGCAGCCTCCTTTTAACTTGCTCCATATATTGAGCTTTATTTTTAGTTTCACATAAAAAGATTAAGTTGGGGGAGAGGAGGTTGTTAGCCTCCTTCAACTGGGGAATTGTCAAGGGGCTCCCTGCACCTTGGCAATTCCACACCAGAACCTTCATATTGCCTTTAGAGGCCAGATTTGGCTGGCCTCTGCCCCCACTTCCATCGCTGCCTCCCTTATCCTTACCTCTGTCAGCTTAGTTTTCTTGCTAGAAAGTTCATCCTCATCAGCATCAGCCATTTCTTCATCCTTTAAATTGAATTTCCTTTTCCCAATTTGTCCTGCATTGCCCGGCTGTCCCTTCCCTTCTTTCAGTGTTTGTCTTTTGTTCACCGGTGTCTTAATGACCTTGTTCATCCTCATTGTTTTCCTCAGTGATGCCACCGTGATCATGTCAGCTAGATTTTCATCAACCTGCATGTTCTCTTCTGCCTGTTTATGTTCCCCTCCTTCCCCAGTTTCCTTACTTTCCTTGCTGATCAGTAATTCTGGGGTGTTCATAAGACTTTTAGGCACTTCCTTATCAATATTGTGTAAAGGTCGATCCTTTTCTAGACAGGCCTGTTGATGTGACACAAGGCTTGTTTGTAATCCCACGTTCCTCTCTGATTCCTTTTGATTGTTCAAGTTGGGTTTGTCCTGTGATGGTTTATTCATCCCTAACCCCTGAAGGTCAGTCTCCCTTGTTACTTTCTCACCGCCCACCTGCAAAGTTGAGATGTCTTTGTGTATCCTATTGTCTTGGCCAGACACATTTAAGTGTTCCTCATTCTGGTTGACCTCCTTTCTCCCAACAGGACTGGGAATTAGTTCCCCATTTTTGAAAGTCCAATGTGTCCTATCATCTGAGTAGTTTTTCTGAGGCTGTGTTTTTGGTGGTGAACTCCTTCCACTCCCCGCTCTCAACCAAGGACCATATTGGTTATCCAACTGGCCTCTCCCCACTATCACTTCTATTTTGCAGGTCCTCTCACTGTGTCCAATTCTCCCACAGCTATAACAGAAATCTGGACAGCGCTCGTACTTAAAGCTAATCCACCTTGGAGCTCCATTCAGTTGAATCATCGCACCCCTCATTAGCGGCTGTGAAATATCTGTCTTCACCATAATTTTAATATGCCTGCCTTCCTTTCCTCCCGCTTGAGGAATTATGACTTCCTTAACCTCACCAACCATGGCTCCTATCTTCTTCCCTGTTTCCTTTGACATCCAATGTATAGGCAAGTTCCACACTTGGATCCATAGAGGGGCAAAGTTAAAAGCTGTATAGTCCTCCTCTATCCCTGCAAACCAACTGCTTAGAACCAAAATCTGATTATCAATAATCCAAGGTCCTCCGTCCAGTACCCTTAATCTTTCATCCTCTCTCGGTAAAATGAACTGAAACAGATTTGGCCCCAACTCCAGAGCCTTCATTTCCTTTGGATATCCCCACGCAGCAGTCACAAAGTTCTTTACTCCCACAAAATTGACAACTTTTTCTCCATGTATTTTCCCCACTAGACTAGATTGGCACTCCATTATCCCATTATCAGCATCCCCCAAATCTAGAGCAGTGCCTCCCATTTCTTTGTTTGAAAGTGCAAATTTCTGCAAGATTTCTGCCAATTCCTCTGCCATTGTCTACTAGAGATTTATCGGGTATACCACGCTTATCTCTCACTGCTTACACTTAGCTAACACAGAGCAAAGAAGGGAAAACCCCACGGCAAGACAACAAAACCAGCAAAAGCTATAAAAGACAGGTAAAAGAGAAGAGGTACCCTACTGCAGCTAAAGAACTAGTCAAAAACCAAATGCATCTACTTAAAACTTAAGGCCAGGAAACAAGGGTTCTTCTTTTCTTTTTTTTTTTTTTTTCCCAAAATTACCTGTCACCAGCTTATGACTGAGGGCCGGAAACCTCCTGGAGAAGAAGGGTTGCCTCCTACTGCTGTGGTTTGCTCGCACTCTCTTTTCCTTTTTTTTTTTTTACTCCGTATTACCACTAAGGACACCGAAGAAACGAACCCAGAAAAGAGTTGCTGTTCGTTCAGAAAAGCCTAACCTTTAATGTGTTTACACATCTGTGCATAAGTGATCTTAAATGCTCACTCAAAGTCAGATAGATAAAATGACGGAAGGAATTGGAGCCTGTGAAATTTGGAAGGTTTGGAAGGTTTGAACACTCATGCAAGAGAGACTCACGATTCCCAAGAGAGAGAAAAAGGCCTCTCACTTTAGGAGAATGGAGGTTCCCTAATGCCTCGGCTTCGTAGTTGGTACCATTATGAACCTAGATCCACTATACATACTACATTAAGTTAACATGTCGAAAGCCTTATTAAATTAATGACAAGAGAAAAACACATGGACTAAATGGCTGTGATTGGGATTAGGGGTGGGTAAAATTATCTGCTAATTCGAAAACCTATCATATCCGATCCGATCTGATCCGAAAATTAGGATATCCGATTTTTATTATTTGATCGGGTCAAAAGATGTTCAGATACCCTTTAAGATGTGTGGCAGGTTAGGATCACATAATTAAAAACCCGCGGATACCCGATCTGCCATGCATATATATATATATATATATATATATTTATTTTATTTTTATTTTTATACACACACTATAAAATAATAAGAACTAAATAAGTAATTTTATTGAACAAATTGAACTAAATATGGGATTAGGGGTGGGCAAAATTATCTGCTAACCCGAAAATCTATCATATCCGATCCGATCTGATCCGAAAATTAGGATATCCGATTTTTATTATTTGATCGGGTCAAAAGAGGTTCGGATACCCTTTAAGATGTGTGGCAGGTTAGGATCACATAATTAAAAACCCGCGGATACCCGATCTGCCATGCATATATATATATATATATATATATATATATTTTTTTTTTTTTAATTTTTATACACACACTATAAAATAATAAGAACTAAATAAGTAATTTTATTGAACAAATTGTATTACAAATATGAGAGACTATAGTTTATTTACAAGATTCATTTGTAGAGGCCATGATCTTATATTTTATAGAAAAATGTTTAATTAATGTGGAACATATATATTAAAAATTGTGCTACTTATTTCAGACTTTTATTGATTTCGAATTCTTTTAATTTTTTTCCTTTATCTTATATTTTCTTCATATGTTTGTTTCTTGGTGGGAAACCTTTTTTTAGAAAAAAAATTTATTAAATCTTAGATGAATGTGTAAAATATAAAATTAAATTGATATAAATTATTTTTTTTAAAATTAAATGATAAATGGAGCGGGGCAGGGGCGGGTACCCGTTGATCCGACCCTATATCAGCGGGTACCCTATTATAGGGTACCCGTTGATATAAGGGCGGGTAAGGGTCAGAAAATGGCTGACTCGCAAGGTGCAGGTTGGATCAGCCAAATGGAGAATGGGGCGGATACCCGACCTGCGCCCATCTCCAATTGGGACTCCCATAGAAAGAGCAACCAAATGGTAAAAGACTCTGCAAATGTGAACTAGAACAAAATTGACTTTCTAATTTGTCCATATATATAGAGACAGTGACCAAGAGAGGTATTGAGAAAAAAAGGGCTGTATGGATACATGGAGGGGATACATTTTCACTCTTATGGTTGTGATTGCATTGGATAAACAAACACCATCTCATCTTAAGAAGAGATTTAGAGATCATATACATTACCTGCAGCTTTTTATGCATTCCTTCCGAAGAAGATTTTGCATTTGTCATTCTTCCTCTAGAGGATGCACTATGGGTCCACGTGGCCTCCACAGAAATGCTATCAGCTCATCCTACTAAAATTTCCTGGTCCATTTCTAGATTCTGAAAAGAAAGCCACTTAAAACTTTTGCTAAAATCTGTCCTGTAAATGTATATAAGAGATGATTCAAATCCTTACATTTATTGATGATGGAGCTCCCACCATCACCATTACTGCCAACAATCCCCACACCTAAAACGAGTACAACAATTCGAGTTCCCTTTGCCTATATTTCTCTATTTCTTTGCATCTTAGCAGCTTCCCTCTTCGTCTGCATTTCAGAGAAATACATGTCTGCCACTTCAAGTGCCGTCCCATGTTGGCTTTTAATTTCCAACCATAACTCGTCCTTTTTCCATTGGTTATCGAGTTTTGTTGTTAAACAAAATCCAAAAATTCATGCATACTTCACTATTTCCCTTTACCCCTTTTGTCAGTTTTCTCCTTTGTAGAACCGTAATCACTCCAACTAGTTGCATAATCTTTCCAAATACGTTCAAAGCCATATCACAGGAAGCATATTAAAGCTAAAGTATTGAAAAGTAGCCGGTTCCCGTGTGCGACCTGCCAACTACTTCACTATAAATAGACTCTGATAAAGGGCATAGTCTGGGCAAGTTTGACAGAACCAACCTTAAGTTTTTAACTCTTAAGGGGGATTCAAACTCATCAAAATGTCGTTTTCCTATGCTAAAAACTTCCTTAAACGGTTTTGTGTTGATGACTACCTACTGAATGCAAAAACTGACAGTTGTTTCTTCTCTACCGATCTACTCCCATCTCTTGGAGTCCGAATCAACCAAGCAACCAAACTACGAAAACGCATAATTTCACCATTCAATCCTCGTTATAGGTGATGACTCTTGGTCCGGATGTAGTACTACTCAAAGGCAACTACATGGTAAACTAGCCACTAATCCTCATATGTATGTTTATTTATTTATTCTCATTTCAGGGCTTGGGAAATGTTTCTGGTTATCCTGGTTATTTACTCGGCCTGGATATCGCCCTTTGAGTTCGCATTCCTGACTTACAAGCAAGATGCATTGTCCATTTTTGACAACATTGTCAACACCTTCTTTGCCATTGACATCTTTCTCACATTCTTCGTAGCATACCTTGATAGCGAATCTTATCTGCTTGTTGATAATCCCAAAGCAATAGCCGTCAGGTAACACCACAAGGCTTGCTCTAACAGTACTCGTTTACAAGATATCTCAGTAGTCACTAACTTGCTCTCTGCAGTCATTTAATCTGCTATCACATGTTCCGTGGATGTATTACAGGTATATATCCACCTGGTTCATTTTTGATGTCTGCTCCACCGTGCCATTTCAATCCATTAGCCTCCTTTTCACA